TCATGAATCTTCTGACATTAACCAGAAGCTATTTTTGTACTACTAGCGGCCACCGTTCAGCTTACCGTTACTGGGCCGTAACACACCCTATCACGTCATACACCATACTTCCATCTATATCATCTTGTCTTCATACTCGCCTCTGGCAAACAACAACCCAACCAGACAATCGATACTCTACACATCAGTATAACACACACGCATCTCCTATACCATACTCCAGAGGGGAGAGTACCAACACGTCCTGAGTCAACATCGCTTTGGCCGGCAGTCCCTGTCCATCTTCAGCTACCATGGGGCTATACTCGAGTGTGTGCTGGTGCTGTACTACATGGTGACGGGGGTGGTGGGCTTCTATTCGCTGGATGTGATAAAGCCATACACACCCCTGCCGCACTCAGTCAACAAATATGCGGTATGAGTGGGGGTGCGACCGATGGCTGGATGGCGTTGGTAGTTGAGCGTAGTATTATATCCTTTGCATGGTAGCACCTCTTATTATATGATTTGTACATACGTTGTTTTCCACTTCAGTGACTTTGGAATGCACATTCAACTTGGTATGCTGGCCATGAGCTGGCGATAGCTACATAGTATGTGCATAGTATGTACATAGTATGTACATATTATGTACATAATATGGCAATGTCAACGGGAATATGCGAGAGGTTCTTTATGGATGCGTACACATCAACGTACCCTCACCTATGTGAACGCGCACTTACATCCCCCTCTTGGACGACACTATAAACCATCCCCCATGTGCCAACCAGAGCATATCGTATACGGTTAGGCATACATACACACACATCGGACGTACTTCTCACCTATGTGAACACTCACACGCACTCACACCCAATCGACAGATGATATATCTTAAATGGTTGGGCATACATACACACACATCGGACGTACTTCTCACCTATAGGAACACTCACACGCACTCACACCCAATCGACAGATGATATATCTCAAATGGTTGGGCATACACACACACACATCAGACGTACTTCTCACCTATGTGAACACTCACACTCACTCACACCCAATCGACAGATGATATATATTAAATAGTTAGGCATACATACACACACATGGGACGTACTCCTCACCTACGTGGACACTCACACGCACTCACACCCAATCGACAGATGATGGGCCACGTGCTGGTGCTGCTGTTCTTCAGCTCAGCGCTCAATGTGATGACTCACAGCATTGGCGTGACGGAGCTAGATCCCATTGGCCGGTCTAACGGGTTCATCTGGCTCAACACACCCATTGTGGTGGTGTACAATGTTAGCTTCGTCTTCTACTTCGTTCGGTCGCTCAAGGCCTCTCCGATAGTCAATAAGATATGGCGATGGATAGAGGTGTGTGTGCGTGTGCTGTGTTTGGAGATGTATAGAGGTGTGTGTGTGTTTGGAGGTGTGAGTGTGTGTGGAGGTGTGCGTGTGCTGTGTGAGTGAGATGTATAGAGGCGTGTGTGTGCATGGAGATGCGAGTGTGTGTGGAGGTGTGCGTGTGTGCGTGAGTGAAGGTGTGCGTGTGTGCGTGTGTGTATGATTCCGTGTGTGTATGTGTGGAGAGGTCTGTGTGTGTGTGTGTGCTGCGTGGATGAGAGTGGTGAATAGTGTGTCACGTGTTGGGGTTGTCGTATGGTACGCTAGCCGTGTCTGCTATATTCCGTGCTGCCAGTGCTCGTCACAAGCTTTGTAGCAGCCGAGGTGGGATGACTAGGAGGTGGGTTGTTGTTGTTGGTATGGAGACTGTGAATGTGTCCTGTAATTACACACAATGGTCCTCCATCAGTGCCACCAGCGACATCTTCAGGGCGTTACACATAGTCCCGTTGTCTCGGGTATATTCGTGTTTCTGTAGCCGCTCGCGAGGATTTACGTCGCCTGTTTATAGACAGATGCTTTGAATGCAATGGTTTAGTAGTACCTCTGTAGCACACCTTTCCGAGTGTGTGAGGACATCGCTGCGGCGGATGAAAGTCATGCACAAAAGCCCTGCACGAATTGGTACGCGTGTGCTTGTATGTCGCATCCTTGCGCGCTCTAACCTGGTTTTTCTCACACGCACGGACTAGAAATAGAAACACGAACATATACTCAAACACACCCCCTCCCTCCCCACACATACATATACAGACTCTGGCGGTGTCTGATGCGAAGGAGAAACGCGTACAAGCCAAACGGCAACGCAAACTGTCCATGCACGACCGAGCGTCCAGCAACACACCCAATACCACACTGGAGAGACAGGCCTCGCTCAGAGACGGAAAAGCGTTGTCACACGCACAGGCACACGCACAGGCACACGCCCAGGCAAATGCCCAGGGGCGTGCACAAGCACAGCATGTGGGTGGTGCGAAGAGTACTGTGCAGCGACGACTAGACTTTAAGGGGGCGGATGAGGCGGATGGGTATGGAGATGGGGAGGGCGAGGATACCGAACTGTCGGGGTTGGATGGCACAGACGATGACATATGAGGGTGTAGGTAGGGGTGGTTGGGTTGCAGGTGACGTATTGGAGGTAAGGAGCTGTGTTCTGCAGTGTCTGCCTCGGCTCATCTCATGTGAGACTGTGAGCTGTACTGCAGGCTGACCAGGCGACTTCAACAGACACGTGCTGGTGTGACTGTGTGGGTGTGATACTGTGAGACTGCGAGCTGTACTACAGGCTGACCAGGCGACTTCAACAGACACGTGCTGGTGTGACTGTGTGGGTGTGATACTGTTAGACTGTGAGCTGTACTACAGGCTGACCAGGCGACTTCAAAAGACACGTGCTGGTGTGACTCTGTGGGTGTGATACTGACGGCTTTGTTGCTGTCTACGTACGTCGCCGCACGTGTGCAGGGCATTCAGCGGGTGTGCGCTACGGTCTATTGCTGCGGAGGGGACTTTGCACCCTAAAATCCCTAAAACCCAAGTCCTGAAAACCCTAAAAGCCCTGAAAGCTCTGAAAACCTTAAAAACCCCGCACATGCATGTGCATTCTGGACGTTGTGTATTGGCACAACTCTGTGCTCGTATTGACGTGCGTATTTGCCGTGGGGTGTGTGTGCTTGTCACTATGTATGTGCATGTACACTTCCGCCCGTATGTTCGTGGGGTGGTGTGTATTGGCACAACTCTGTGCTCGTATTTTGGTAGTGATACACGAGTCATTCCAAGTCAGTAGTTGATGGATGACTGCACATCCCTTTTAGGGTTTTAGGGCTTATTCTGTCCGAAACACATCAAACAGGGTCCACGCCAACCACACAGTGAGACCCAGGGCATGTCCTCTTATCACATAGCAGGACAGGCACACAGGTTTGAGGGCGCTCAGTGATGCCACAACGGGGCCAAAGCTCTGCCCAGTACAAATGTACACTCTATTATTTAGGGCTGAACTGCACCCACCGACACACAGCCTTCTCCAGAACACGGGGTTGGTTTGTACCCAATTGTATGGGTGGTGGCGTGTTTTGTTGTTTGCTGTTTTGACATGTAGGTAGGTATGTAACCTGAGCGCATGACTGGAGGACATGTAGGTAGGTATATAAACTGAGCGCATGACTGGAGGACATGTAGGTAGGTATATAACCTGAGCGCATGACTGGAGGTCATGTAGGTAGGTGTATAACCTGAGCGCATGACTGGAGGATATGTAGGTAGGTGTATAACCTGAGCGCATGACAGGAGGACATGTAGGTAGGTATATAACTTGAGCGTATGACTGGAGGACATGTAGGTAGGTATGTAACCTAAGCGCTGGAGTTGCCTGCGTGCTTCCAGACGTACCGCGAATGTGTTGAAGGGTTTAGGGTCTTTAGAAAATCCTAGAACAAGTCGGAGTCAAATGTGTGTGGGAGGGATATGAGGGCGCAACAGGCGATCCAACGGGAGAAACCCCAGAGCCACCATAGCCGCATCAACCAGCCACTCGAATAGGGGCTAGGGAATAAGCTACAGACACGGCCAAGGCAGGTGGTGCACCCACACACACAGCAGCACAACCATGGCACACACACACATTACGTATTTTCTAGTACGTTGTGCACATACATACACATACGTATATTCTATTACTCTAAGAAGTAGTATCACATCAGCAGCACAACCAAGGCACATACACACACATTACGTTTATTCTATTACACGTTAGGGCACTAGCAGTATCTAGTTACCGGCACACGGTTTACGCCAGCCTGTGCTTGTTTGCGTACTATCCGGAGGCTATCGAACGGGTGAGCGGGGGTGTTTTAAAGGCATAGTTTGCCGGATCAAGTAGTGGGTGCTGAGCTGTCTGTCACAGGGCGATGGGAGTGGTGATATATACCACTTCTGATACAGTGAGAGCGTACGAAGGCGATCATGCGAGTGCTGTAGGGCCTATTGAGCTCGGATTGGCGGACAAAAGTCAGGCACACAGAAACAGAGATGCAAGGCCAATGCGCCGGGAGAATACAGTGCGTGTATACGTTGTCATGGCAACGGCATTTACGCGGGAACGATCCGGCGTGTGCAGCGACCAGGGCGGAGACGCAAATGTACGTGTGTTGTTGAGTTATACCTCAAAAGCAGAAGAGCCATACTAGCACGAAGTTCTTAAGATCAGTATAGTGTATAGTGTTTCTTTTGCCTGAGTGTGACAGAAGTAAGCGTTCTATTCGAAGTCTTGCGCTTTACTGTGTAAAGCCATGTCTAGACTAAAACATAAATTGTTGTGTGGCTGTTGTAAACCACAGATATGTATTGACTCAGTAGATTTATCTAACATTTAATATGTAGATATTATCTGACATATGATATGTAGATATTATGTAACATAATATGTAGATATTGTGTAACATATAATATGTAGATATTATGTAACATATAATATGTAGATATAATCTGACATATGATATGTAGATATTATCTAACATATAATATGTAGATATTATCTAACATATAATATGTAGATATTATCTAACATATAATATGTAGATATTATCTAACATATAATATGTAGATGTTATCTAACATATAATATGTAGATATTATCTAACATATAATATGTAGATATTATCTAACATATAATATGTAGATATTATCTAACATATAATATGTAAATATTACCTAACATATAATATGTAGATATTATCTAACATATAGTATGGCTCCGTGCCGCAATATGAGAGCAAAACAATACACAAGATTTAAGCAACTTATCGAATCACAACTGAGCACTTCATATCACAAATGTGACAAGCACGTAACGTTAGCGCCGATTAAACTCTTTATCAGAAACAAAACACATAGCCACTGAGCACTTACGTGTGTCATGTTTGCAACTTTTATCGGTCGTTAGTCGTGCTCTTACGTAAGGCCAAGGTGTCTTAGCAAGCCAGATCCACCCAAGCATGACTGACTGCTCTACTGTTTGCGCATTAACGGCCATCTACCGGACATATCTCGCACGCCTTCTGTGTCATTAGTGGGGTTGTCCTGAAATTCGCCTTCTAAAGTTTTCACAGTCACGGCCGGGTGTGCTACACCCGCAATAACTTCACACGAGGTGTCGGCCTTTCTATGTCATATTTAAAGCAATGTGACCCAATCGATGCGAAGACTCAGACCTGGCAAGCGTAGCAGTTGGTGTGCGCGGGTCTTGCCACAGCCATCGATACCGTCTTCCTCTGAACAGACGGCAGTGACCGTGGTGTGACACTACCGACCTTCAACCAGTTGTCCATCCACACACCATTGCATGTTTCTGCATCTGAGATTTGCTCGGCATCTTAGCAGCGCAAAAGCGACACTCTTTGATCCTTTCGTGGCATTTTTCATACTGCGCCGAAGAAGGCCATTCTCCCTTATCTGTCAGAACTCAGCTACACCTACACTGATGATAGTACAAGCATCGCTCAGGATTGACCGTATGGTGTTCCTTCCGATGCCTTCCCAGTTCCCCTGCTATAGGGCTGACCACAGCCTACCCAGGGACACACACTAAACCGATGCACATCTAATCTGTGCCGATTCAAGGCACGAACGCCATGCAAAACCACCTCACAATCCACCACATCGCATTTGACAATGGGATGGATCTCAATCTCATGGCGTGCGCATTGCAGTGCCAGAGCGAACGTTTTGGTGCAGTATCGACATGGATATCGACGTCCTTTGTTCGCCTTCGGTGCATTCGCTGAGTAGTTATGGCATGCCGCGAAATGTTTCATTATAAGCCCCCTCCCTGCGAACGTTTCATCGCAATCTGTGATGGGACACATGTGTGTCAATCTCTTCTTGGGCATCTGCTTCAGTACTTCCTTGACCGGCTCAGGGCATTCACCTCTCAACAGATTGAGCCGAGACTCTCCCTAAAACGATACCACAACCTCAGTCACATCCACCAACGCGCCGGTACCGAACTTCTTGCCATCTGATTGCATCCGATTGGCCTGACTCGACCTGCGCCGTAGTGTTCGCTAGCACACATATACTATCACTTGCCGCGTTCTCCTTCCTGACGGTCTGTGGCTTTGTAGCACACGCCAGCATAGACTCGACCTGCGAGTGCCCAGGTGACTGTAGTTCCACCGGTTGCGTACAATCTGAACGCCTGTCCGCTCCAACCTTTGACTCAGCGGTGGGTGGTGTGTGCGAAGGTGCACACGCTTTCCCAGTAGCGAAACCCTGAGCGGCGCACACAGTGTCTGCTTTACCACGCGCATGAGCATCTCGTCTCTCCCTTGCTTCCGGTACGGCCGCTACAGGTATATCATACCTCGTATCTGCAAGTCCAACATTCTCCAGAACTCTGGGCTCATTCTTAGACGTGAGGGTTTAGCGTTTACATTCTTCTTTACATATCCGGGCACTCTTTTGTGCGAGTAAGTCTTTAGTGGGCGAACTCACAACTGAGGTATTGGGATGCGGACGCTTGCGATCACGATTCGCCGCGCATTCTTACGCATGTCCAAGATCATACCACGCTATACCCTGTTGAACATGTAAACAAAATCATTCAATGAATCACCCGTTTCTTCAGCTCAGCTCAGTAAATATATATATATATATATATCCACCAGTTGAGGGTAGTGTACAGTCAAGTTGTGAAATGAAGTTTTCAAAGACACACTTAAACAGATATTCCATTCAACTTCTCCTGACTAAACGACGCGTGAATCTCGATATCCGCACATCACAGTACGTTAAAACATACCACATGCCAACCAATAAAGTTCAGTTCTTCAAAATTAAACTTAAGCGTGATCTAGACGCATTGCCAGTCCACATCGCACGATATAAATGAAGTCAGGGATAGTAAAGACTGTTGATGTATCATATCTCAGTGTAAACAATTCTGTTGCAAAAGGTAGTCTCGCAAATTCGCCTCTCCTTTGTTTAAAGTGCCCAGTAACTGTACAACCAACTACAAAGGTCTAGATGGGCCTGACGTAAAACCCTAAACCCTAAAATCACGTGACTACACTCGAATGCAGATAGGTTCGCGCACACCGTATTTGTAGTACAGTGAACGGAAATCCATTCACTCACAATTATTTGTGAACAAAAGCATTATGTGTCTAGATTGATTCTATCGCTAATGAATTGGGTAGATACAGTTAAAGTACCTAGTAACTCAGCGGTTCTCCCCGTTACGCAACAACACTGGACTCGAAGAGAAACTACGCAGAGTATTGCATAAGCTCACCAAGTCTGTACGTCGCGAACATCCGCGTACCTTTATAACCTTCCAACCCCTTACACCTGAGCTATTCATTTCCTAAGGGAAGCGGCTGTACTAACCTTAATACACTTGAGGCTACACTATATATGTAGACTCACGAACAGAAAAAAGTCTCCACAATTAGACCGGCATAGCCAAATTGTGAGACCTATAGACACATGTCGGGTACGGAGCATATGTAGAGTACGAGATACGAGGAAACAATATATTGCTATCCTCAGCAATTGCATGAGATATAGAACTTGGCTAAACTCGGGCATGTATCATTGAATGCACGAGGACACCCGTGCGACAACCATGACATCAGTGCACACAGCGCATCAGAGTGATAAAGACTCAATAGTATGTCCACTTAAGCATACAATACATACCTGACAAACCTCAGAACAGTAATATAGTCGTGTATTGCAAGGGCACATATAATCGGCCTCTAACTTGCAAACGAAACTAGTGAACTTTTCATCCCCTTCCGTGGCTGCGGAGTTGTCCTCGGGGCACATCGCGGAAATGGGCATCGCAGCGGGGGTTTTGGCTTTGTGTGTAGTCCGAATACAGGTCTTTTACTGTGAATAAGCTACGTACAAGCCTTTATAGATTGTTCTCTTATTAAACTTCGACAGCGTACGCTTAGCACGCAGGAAATTTGTATGTACAAGCTCCAACAATGTATTTACTTACAACACACAAAACATATGTAAATATTTTGTTATATCACCAGACGCAGTATTCTCAATACCCGATTTTTACAGCCTTCAGAAAATTGCACGCGATTTTATTTAGTCCCAAGAGCACCTAATAATCAGGAAATACTCGATTCTGGCTCTTGTAATTTTAAGGAGGGTCATTGAATATCAGGAAATATTAAGAAATAATAGGACGAAAAATTTGAAAAGCGAGCCAAAATCAAGAGACGCAGGGCTGATTCACCCGCTGATAAATAAGTGTCTGAAAGACTCGGTATGGCCGAAACGCGTGTATATAAATCAGTCTGATGTGAATATGTATGTACATATGGGATTTAACCCTAACCCTAGAACCCTTGCTCAACCTTAAACCCTACGATCTAGCTTGCTAGCTTTAAAAGGAGAATATGAACAAAAACCACAGAAACACTTGCTCTTCGCGTGTTAATATGTATTCTTTGCATCCTTGTATCATACATACACATATAATGTATATATACACATATCGTGTCAACACCAACATAACATATGAACATACACCTATGGGCTGGCACACACACAAAGATGCATACACCATATGTGATATTCAGGTATACATACACCTCACAAATCAGGAGAGTTGAATACGTTCAGCCTCGCACACACACAAAGATGCATGCATCATATGTGATATTCAGGTATACATACACCTCACAAATCAGGCGAGTTGAACACGTTCAGCCTCGCACACAAACTTGTACATGATAAGAGCACACTAACTTGTAATTATTAAAGACGTTCGGTTGTGGGAAGCCATCACTTAACGGAAATGTCTCCGTGCTAGTGCGTTTTGAAATGATTATCATGCACACCACCTGCAGAGGGTGCGGACGAACTTATCCACATTGACTAATGTACCTTCCTGCCTACAGCGTCTCTCACAGGAGCACAATTCGGAAAAGATATACATACTTGATGTATATATAATATATATATACACGATGAATATATAGATATGAAAATAAAGGGGAACCTCGAACTCGCGCGTGTGCTTTCAGCGGTTTATTCAATTATACTGTCTGACCGTCGCATTCGCAGTCCTTGCCACGGAACTACAACGGTCATCAGTTCGGAGGTCACACGTGACACGCTGGTCACGTTGTGCTCGATGTTCTAGCGGTTCTACCATTGAGGACGGCGCTTGGGTATATGGGTATATCCCATATTCAACTAGTGTTACGGGTGTGGCTGTGATACTGTCTCTACGCGTGTATTTTCTGGATATGCACATCTAACACAAATGTACATATGCTCAGTACGAGTACGCGTGTATGTCCTCTTGATCAACACCATACTACTGGTGGCGAAGGAAGTATCAGCCAAAGTAACGGATTGGGATGTGAAGTGAAGTGATATCCAAGCGTCTTCATATTTACAGAAGACTCTCATCGGATACACTCCCCTCACACCCGTCAGGGGATGGAGCCGCCCATTTGAGTCACGGCTGCCATCCACTGGCGGTTAGTCAGTGCAGTAGGATATAGAACGCACATAGCACCAACACACGCGACACGTCAAGCCACGCACGCTGGTAAGATGGACGTCCTGGTCAGGTATGAGTAACTAACCCATTCGTAGACACACCTCCGCGGTATATCAGCGTACCCTGTGTACGTAGAAGCTAACCAATACGCACACAAATGTACCGCCTGTATCTGGTATACGCGGTCGTACACCACGGAGGCCTCCCGTATTCAAACGAGTTATATTATAGTGTAAAGGTTTGTTGTGACGAATCACCGACTCAAGTATGTACAATACACATATCCCGTGTATACGCGAATGTTAGAGGCTGAGTGTCTGCCTTCGTATCGCAGGGGATTGTCCGTGCACGACCACACCTCGTGAGTATACATGTGCATGAGGTACATACCTGCATGTATGTACTGTTGAGATCACACACAACATCGCCGACGGGTGCATGTGAGCACAGACTCGTCCACTTATACATCACATTACAGACGTGCGTGTATGTGTCTAGTCTCTATGTAAAAGAGTGTGCTATCAAATCCGACAAACACACCCTCGAGATGCATTTGGACCCAAAACTGAATGAATGGTGCACCCATACGTTAAGTGTCCCTGCAAATTAGAATGCTTTCCAAAGCGAACCGTCGGCATCCAAGGCCCATATGAGAATGTAGCCCGAAACCTCACACACCCAATAGTAATACACAGTATGCGGGTGTGTGAAGCTCGCGAGCCAACCCCAACGATACCGACGCCGCTCCCGGCGCGTCTAAACAAATGCTCCACTGGCAGGGGTAATTTGAGATACACACAACACCCACGAGATACTCACGCATACTCGAATGTATGTACGTACGAGTGCACCCCCTCCCCAATGCACACAATCCCCTGTGCAAGCATGTAGGCCCCTTCTATGCGGTTCAGGTGGTCCTAGACTTAACAGGTGGACGAGCGAGACGCACAACACTGCACTAGCCTCCTCAGCACGTACTTGAGGGTGCCACCGTGCGCCATAGTCATGCACTCATGTTCACTGTGGCAATCCAGCTGCATGAAGAAGGACCACGAGTACAGTCCAATGGCCACCTGAAGCAAGACATGAGAAGATGGTGATAGATATGTGAGTGAGAAGCAAGGCATGTTGGATGGCGATAGGTATGTCAATGAGAAAGACGCACCAAACAACCTCGGCCCAGGGCAATGGACTGGGACGTTTCAAACGATAGACATATATACACAGGCTTGATATGGGGCAGTCAGCGGCGGATCGATCCTTGTAGTGGATGGAGACACGCGCAAATGGCAGGCTACACGCGTAAGGAGCAACTCACCACACGCACACCGATCTAGTCCCACCCACGAGTTGTAATACAATGCACACACACATTCAAGCACTCACCGTGACAGATATGGGGCATCCGGGGGTCAGCACTGGTGGCCGTGCAATGGTGAAGATCTCTGTACCCGTGAGACCCAATGAAACAGCCGTAGTACCATCTGTAAACCTCAGTGGCAGCACGCCCACGCAAATCAGATTGCGCCGGTGTGAGTCATCAAACGACTCTGCAAGGATCGCCTGTACGCCAAGTAGCGCGGGACCCTTAGCCGCCCAGTCACGTGGACTACCACAGCCGTAGTCTTTGCCAGCGATGACCACGCACGGATGGCCTTCGTGCGCATACCACTGATAGAGGGTTATAGGAACAAAGGAGTGAGACAATTAACGAGGAACGGAATGTGTGGGCGTGGGGAGGGGTGGTGATGAATAGCCGGGTGACGAATACAAGACAGTGTGAACACTGATAAGAGCATCTGAAGTTCAAAAATAAATACTATAAACTCCGAACGGGTAAGCAGCCTAGTTAAATCTACGTAAATGGTTCGAGCCAATATACTCGCTCAATGCTCTTTTCATCTTTTGTCATCCGTGTATCAATCGTCAGCAACCGTATAGCACATACACACGTAGACATGCAACACGTACAAGAACCCCAACCCCCATAAACACACAAATGGTTACACCTACCTGTGCTACATCATATATATTCCCCATCGTGCCACTCGGCACGTGGTGTGTGTACGGCCCAGGCCTGGCTGTCAGGTGGTTCCTGAGCTTCGCGTTCGCGTACGCACCCCTGACCATAACCTCTGCATTGCCTCTCCGTAGCCCAAACGACGCATACTCGCGTGGGTGTAATCCCTGCAAAGACAGGTACCTGGCTGCCAACGAGGACTTAGAGATGGACCCAGCGGGTGAGATGATGTCTGTGGACACACCATCGCCTGAGGATACAACGGGTAGAGGTGCACGTTTAGCTTAGGCAAAGGGGAACAACGAGCTACACGGGACTATAAAGTGGCAGGGCAAGATGATTGGCGAGCAGGTTGCTGGCTTGGTGATGGTGAATGATAGCAAGTGAGGTACGGTACAATAGGTGACCATTTACTCAAGTAGGTGACAGAGATACGGGTTGCGAAGACCACGGCCTTGGATTCGCGATGTGTATGATGACTATTGAGACAGATAGAAAGACGGAGGAGTGCCTGCGGAAGGAGGCTGTGATTGGGAGGCGAATGTAATGCAGCAGATGACGGGTCAATTGCACCTGTAGGTGACGGATTAACGTGTTCCAGATGGTCAGAGTGACTGAATATGCGACTGATAGCACAGACAGTGTGTGTGTGTGTATGAGGAGACGCACACGTGTGCATGTACATACCTAGATACACCAAGCACCGGGCATTTATCACTACGGGTGGGGGCATGTCACACGTGACCCGCTCCAGGAACGGCGATCGGCTCACAAACGTCGCCGCATTGTCCCACGCATACATGAGGCGTGAGGGAGGTGTCTCAATCTTATTCCAGTTGTTGCTGCCCTTCTCAACCGTATCCCGCACACTCTCGGACAGCCCTGGCAGCACATGTACGCGCTCAATTTCCTGCAGCTCTCCCCGCGACGGCCAGATGTCACTCAGGAAGATCTGTGTGCCGTCTTCTAGCGTTCTGATTGGGTCCTATATATAGAATACAAATGGGGAATAGAAGCATGTCAATTTAAGTCTTAAGGCGGCGGCCGTATTCAGGCCCGTGTACTATTCTACGTATCACCATTGCAGGATAGGTCTAACCGTACAATGACTACGCCACACCCACACACGCACCTTCTGGAAATCAATATCCACAGTCCCAGCAATAGCATAGGCGATCACCAACAGGGGAGAGGCCAGGTAGTTCGCACGGGGCGACCCCTCCGCCCACACTTCTCCCTCGGGCGTGCACCAGTTACGGTTGCCACTGGTGATACGCGCAGTGACCAATTGGTTGGACTCGATCTGCTTCACCAACTCGGCGGGGAGTGGGTCTTTGTTACCGGCGCACGACAGACAGTCTGTGCCGACGACTGGGAAGCCCAGAGCCTACGGTCAACCGGAGTGAGATGAGGCGGTGAATTTAGTTGGGTGTACAGATATATAAATATATGTTCGAATGTGTGTAAATCAATACCGTGTCCGTATACACAATAAAATGCTATGCATCTGACAACATAAACATGATATCATACGATACGCGGTTATATGCATGACGTGCCCACTGACGTACTTATTTGCCACTTACTACACCAGCATGCCAGACTCTTATCGGTACAAACAATCAAATCTCCGGAAAACCATAAAACATTGATATTAACGGGGGCCCATATTACATCGAGGTTGTATCAATTTCATCGCTGTGAGAACTGAAAAACCAACTACCTGCAAGGTTCACCAACGATAGCACTCTTTACATAATGGAGTGCTGTAAAACACGTTCACTAGACGCCCAACGCGGGTACCACAACACAGCCAAGCCCTTTACACCCCACTCTCACATGCATACAAGACGTCACTTATAGGGTCGTCATACAAAACAACCCCTCCACTTCAGCATATGATAGTAAACTATAAACGTATACATATATCACATACGTCCAATGCCTGTAGAGATCCACTACTCTTGAGGTAGTATAGAGCTGTATCGGATCCAGGCGAGAAGCTTCTGCGCGTGTACCATGGCACACTGAGCCCCAGACGCACAGCCTTCTTGGCTAGCACACCAGCACCCAGCATCACCAGGGGATTCGATGTATTGGTGCATCCCGTTATTGAGGCGATCATAACGGTACCGTGTTTGAGAGTGACGGGTTTGTCCTGGTAGGAGAAGCTGACTGATTTCTGAATGTCTTTGGTGGGTATGCCATAGCCCTTGAGGCCCTTGGGACCAATCAGATGCGCCTTTATGGGATCAAAATAAATTCGGGATTAGATAAAGTGGTGTTGATAGTAGGCTAGAAATTGACGAGATAAACTACTTTAATCAACGACACAGACTGAAGCCCTGGTGTATATCAGTCAGCCCACAAACCAACTGCAAGGTATGCCGCATCCGCAAATACACCAGCAAACTACGCTCTTACATACCCTCCAAGATTACACCGGGTAATAACTCTTCAATACTAGATAGTGCACCATAAGCATCTGACAGCCATGCACACACACCTTACATCTAACAGCCATGCACACACACCTTACATCTAACAACCATGTACACACACCTTACGGCTAACAACCATGTACACACACCTTACATCCAACAACCATGTACACACACCTTGAAGTCCTGTTGCATATCCGTCAAGGGCACACGGTCAGTGCTGCGCTTGGGACCGCTCAGAGTGGGCGACAGTTTGGACAAATCCAACTGCACCACTCGTGAGTACTTGATACGAGACTGGCACATATCGCAGTTACCACACTCTCCCACCCCAGCCACCCCCTCATCCTCACCCGCGCTGGCTGTGTTCGCCTGTGCCTCGCTATCGTTCGCTTCGTCCGCGTGTGCTTGTGTGTTGCCTTCGGTTGCGCTGGCTGTGTTTGTATCGCTCTGAGGGGCTCTGCTGGTGGAGCAGGTGCCACGGAACAGCTTGTTCGCATGCAGGTACTTCTCAAACATCTGCACCGTCTCCTGATCTCTTCCTGTACACATGACGTGTGTATGAACAAAGGTGAGTGAGTATGATAGCATGGGGAGCTCAATACCCATAGGAAAGAGTGCGTGTGGCTGACACAGCATCGGACGCCTAGATATATACCCTTGTACAATAATGGCTGATTATGTGTTCAAAATGGATTGCAATCGACGGCCAGTTGAGTGCCCAGTGTGGGTGTACGACTATCGTGTGGAAAACAGAAACATATGTTCATAGACTACTTGCGGTGACTGAAGCAACACATGCGAATACCAGAGAAACGGTAACCGAACTGCCACCCGCAGAGCACATACATACAACACAAAAGAAAGAAAAAACAAACAAAACAATTCAGCACCGTACACACACGCACAAAAGAAACAACAAAGCACATACTATACACGCACACCACACACATTGGATATAGCATGATGAAGGGATCACAGTACGTAAAAGACCTACCTGTGGTGCGAAGATACTTGATGCCCATGTCGTCCAAAGGGAAGAAGCCCACCTTGGCACCGTATTCTCGGCACATACTGGATATAGTCAATCGCTCGGCGATGGACAAATGTCGAACACCCTCACCAAAGAACTCCACAAAAGTACCCTCCAACTGTACAGCGCAGGCGATATGATGGTTAGCGGAATACGAATACATGAACACGTATAGGTGTGTGCAGAGATAAACAGATTCGTTCGTGATACGGCTCTATCACAGCGCGTACATCTGGGGTGGGAGTACAAGAGTTGCTCATGCTATGTTCAGATATGTGCACATGACATAACTATACAGAGTGCTAGGGGCGTCAGGAAGATTGCACTTAAAAGCGCGGGCGGGGTCGCGATCGGATAAAGTTACAAAAGTAAGAAGTAGACAAAAGGAACAGATACCATGGGTCATTCCCATGAGGTTCACTCAACTTTCAACTGCTCTGTTAGTTTAGCAACGACTCCATCGATACATAGGCGAATATATCGCGTCATTGCGGATATACCAATGTATACCTATTCGTAAACTTATATATATGTATATACAAATCCATCGATACATACATCAGCATCTCTCAGTTGCTTGGTAACCGTCAGGACCACATCAGTGCTGGTGTTATAGTTCGGCACCTCTCCTACCAATTCTACGCCAACAACTTCAGGCAACTGTGTAGCAATTCCGTTGCCTAGCAACACGCCCTGCGCATCGATCCCACTCACACCCCATGCAAGTATACCCAGACCATTGACCATGGACGCCCGCCTATCCGCTCCTGCAAAGAACAGAAGGAAAAATAAGATTAACAGCAGTACTATGTAGGGGGGCCAACTGGGAATTTTGGAGGATGATGTTGAACGAGTGCATCACTTTAGCTGTGCAGTATCTTATTTAAATGAGCATTTTACCTGAGGAAGCACACACCTCAAAATCCAAAGGTCAAGCCTAGCCGTTACAACAATATGCCAGTAATTGACCACCGACGCAATTAGATACGCAACGTAATCAAATGTTCCAATCACACGCCAACGTTTGCTATACACTTCACCCACTTCTTACGTAACACAGAAATGTAAAAAAAATGTATATCTTCCACTGACCTTGATTGCCAATTTTTCGCTTCAAAACTCCACACAATGTACGATCTGCTGCCCCCAATCGGGACGAAAAATTGTTCACCCAGACTGCTGATCTACCGTAAATACAATCAATCGACCCAAAACTACAATACTCAGATTTGATATAATAACTACCACCCCAGATTAAAAACAACCTATTGTTCATATGGTACTTACGGCTGCACACTACCTACCTATGACAGAATCGGGATAGATGAAATCATCACCATTCTGAAACACCACGCGCGAGGTGTGCTCGAGATTTATTTGGTGGCACGACCCAGCAGAGGGAGGCACTATCAACAACTTATCGAACACATCCCCACTCCACTTGACGAATGAGAGACACTCCTGTGTGCGTTTGGCCTGTGAAGTATGACATAGATAATAGATTTAGAACATACTTGGTCAACTCTATCTTTGTGAAGCTTAACAAGTGGTAGCGGTTGGTGAGGAGTCCCGGCCATTGAAATCGGTAGCGGACAATGAAACGAATACTTGCACATGATGCATGTACACACACACACAAGAGTCTCGACTGAAAACTGCAGTTGGGATGGAAACGACAAAGTAATTTAATAATAATAAATAACAACAGAAACACATGCGCATACGAATACAACTTAAAACACATAAACATGATAATGGGTTTCCGAGGACGTTTATTTAATTGTCACACAATGCCAACTACAAACATAAGCCCAGATTGAACACAGACATAGATCTATGCATGTACAGACAAGTTCGTAACATATACATTACATATACAAACACAACAATTTAGCCAACCACTGGTTCGGCCGCATACCTCAGCAGTGTTGCTCCTGGCCAGAGTCTCAATCATACTAGGCTTTCTCCCAGTTGCAGGTGGTGCGGGGGCACAAGGACTATTCACAATGATATCCGTAGGACACAGCGGCTGTACCTTGGCCGGATTGCCACCTATTATACAAGGAAGGATTCATTGTAAGAATCAAGCCACCTAAATATACATCCATAGACACATACAGAATATAAATATATATATTGTCGTACGATATCGCAGTGTAGGTGCGTAGGCAATCCAGAAGGGACCACGATACGTAATCCACATACTACAACTGCAAAGAAGCCAGGAAGAGCGAGCGGGACGTTCACGAGTCTACACCACTAAGTCTCAATTCAGATGCCATCGCAGCTACAAGACAACGCCTACACAATCAGCATATCAGATAAGCACATGCGGAGGGGCGATTGTACTATCACAGCTAGGCAACACAATAGCGTACAACGAAGTGGTAGTTGGGTGCTGCGTGTTAAGTAATGCATACCGAGCATACGCACAGCCTCGCGCAACGCCGCCAAGTCAAGCAGAGACGGCAGCCCAGAATCATCCAGGAACAAGCATCGAGCAGGCATGAACATCATGCTCCAATTCTGCAACACAGCACCAGGTGCAGGTTTGGGGGGGGGGGATACATGCGTTGATAGAGCAGTAAGACAACAGCTAATGTTACCTACATGTGATTGTGATTACACGTGTGGGTTGGTACGCGTACATGCGTTAATAGAGCAGTAAGACAACAGTTAAGGTTACTTACATGTGATTGCGATTATACGCGTGGGTTGGTACGGGGTATGGTGCAACAACACCTACGATACGAGTCTTGTACTGGAGGCGCGTACATTGCACGTTCTATGGCAGAAGTAACTTGGGAGGCATATTATGCCAAACTACAGGATACTTGGATCTATGATACATGCGTTATTATATTCTACAGAACTGTTGGATCTAAGAGAAAGAAATTCAGCAGGTGCATGAAATGTTTCCCGTTGTACGATAGTTGGATCTATGAAAGAGATTCTCAGTAGGTATTTGAAATACATTTAACTACAGCCCAGTTAGATCGACGAGGAGGAATCTTCACGGGCAAATGCAATATTTCAATTTACCAAATGGTATGTGACATTGCAATCTATAGGGTAGTTGTATCTGATCAGGTCAATCAACGGGTAGATATAACACTTCAGTCTACAGGATAGCTGATCTGTGACGAGAAATTCTAACAGGTATATGTAAATACTTAAATCTTTAGGATAGTTGGGAGAAGCATCTTTATATGCCTTTTTTTTCAATCTACAGCTATGTGGAGTAATATTATATATAATGTATATACAATATAAAGAGCAATCCTACATATACTATATAATACCTATATTTATATACACCATTCTCCTATTTCTTCAAGACTGCGTACCCCGGCCAGCGTGATGGCATATAACTGAGCAGATGTACATGCGTGTGCCAAGTGTTTCCCACTTAACTACCCAGACTAACCTTTGTCTTAGCGTGCTGTTGCCAGTCCAGGATCATCTCCACGTGGTCGTTACCGTGCACTGACCCGAGCGTATCGGGATCGCTGCTCTCTAGGAATGATCGGTGGTCATCTGATGCCGAGTTACGCACAGTGGACTCGAGAAGCACACGCATACAGTAGGGCAATGCATCTGTATAATGTTTGTATAGATACGGTTGAGGGTACAATTCCATATAGAGGTGGTCAAGAGCGCAGCGACTGCATGCAATGATGGGCACGATAGGCATGTTTTGGTTTATCTCTAATGGTGGAGCCTTTTCGGATGAAGGATAGAAAAGGGTATATATTCACATCTAAACAGAGCCCAAATAGCTCCGCATGTGTATTTGAAGCGATACGCATTCACTGTTTGATTTTGAATTGTTACAACTTAATTGACACAAACGACAAGCTTACATTGGCATAGACCCATGCAATAAGAAATGTATATATGAAAGCACACACACACTATATATGTAGTAATATAATTTATATTTATATATATACTACTCCAGTCTCGTGTAGAAAATGGGCTTGCATTAATGACTACTGAGACTATTTATAAAAAGGTATAGAGATAAATACGCACCATGAATACATAACCCCCACCAGTGCTTATATAACTCATAAAGCAAAACATAATGAGGGCGGAGTATTGTTCTCGCAACAAAACGGCTCGTAAAATTTTATTCGCTAACTATGTCGATTGTATGCTCATCTTATTGTTATTTTGTTTGAGCTCCCCTTTGGCCATATACGAGGGGTTAGTAATTCCAACAAAACATACATTTATATATATATACACTGTCTAGCAAGTTATTCTGAAGCGCATTTCATACTTCCAGCCTTTTAAAGACGTCATATGCTGCTACCAGTGGCATAGACATGCGCACACGCTGTACGGATGGTCTGTACAAACTATAACTCAAGTTAAACTGTATGTATTAACACGAGCGCGACTTTTTTATACCGTGCAGAAGTACGATACAAACAGGTACATTAAGCCAATATTGTAAAAACACCTTATTGACCCTCAAGGCTACACGAAAGTCCTAACTGACAGCACTCCTGCATACCGTAACGTTCGTCCTGGAGATCAGGCAGGGAGAAATACTTGTAAGTCTTCTCACCAACGGGAAGCTCCCTGACGGTGTGCTTGTAGGGATGTGTGTCCACAGACTTACACATGTTGGTGAGTGTCAGTGTTTATATCTGCAATCAGCGATAACTACGCTATTCCATATAACTAACGTAATCTTATCCTTGCTTGTGAGTAGTGCAATGCGGCTGGGTACAACAGTACAACTACCTATCTAGATATTTTATCCACGTGTAAGGAGATCTAACAGGCATGAAAGATCGTGGATATGGTATACCGATAGGGTGTTGTGGGACAAACAAACGCAACAGTATAAATCTCGTTATTCACCAGCCACTGCATTACATAGATCCAGCACACCAAATAGTACCAAGTACACAGTACAATTTAACCTCACCTCAACGTGAACACGCACTCAACTCGCTCAAAGTCTCCAGTACATAGTACTCGGTAGGACCTCGGAGTTCGGACACACTACCCCCCAGGCCCCAGGCCTACTCTAGTAGAGGCCCAGGGCCCTATAGTAGCCCCACTCTGGGCCACTCCCCAGGCTCATAGTGACTCAGTAGTAAATATATACGGTACTCAGTAGTACCCAGTAGTCAGTACTCTCTATAGTAGGACCTCGGACAGTGGACACTCGTCCTGAGAGCGGGCCGCTGGCAGGCTCCCAGAGCGACGCAATGACCCAATGACCCACTCGCACCAGTCCAGAAAATATAAAAAATAGGCACGACATCTGTTTATTTATGGAAAACAACCTCTTTGGACTCTCCGGAAAAAAACCCCCACTCGAGAGTGACTCGAAGTCATATGATTCTTATAATTTCTTTTCCCACTTTTTGCGTATTGTTGTTCTTTATATAGAACACTCAATAGGAAGGTTGCCTGATGACAAATAGTCAAATAGCTAGCGAGCCATCGTTGTTTTTTAATGGTATTTATATATAAATATTATTGTGTGGTTCACGAACACCTCTATATACTCTATTTTACAGATATTGTACAATACATCATGATGATGAATACAGCACATTTCACACCACGAAGAACATTTTTCCGTTTTCGACAAGTAGATTTATTGCAAACAGGATGTGTCAGTGACTCAGTGTGAGCCTGATAGGCGTGACTCGCATGACGAGTCTCGTCTCTCTCAAGTTTTCTCTTGTGTTGGTATGATTCAAAACTTAAAAATTGAACTAATGCTTATGCTAATAGATCTATAAAAATATTATATATTTAGAAAACTTTCAAAATAACGAGACAAGCACATTTTGAACACAAACACACGCAATAATTAAATAACTGCACGTGTGGAAAGGGTGTCAAGCACGGTATTCAATGCACGATATCTTATGAACTAAAAGTCAGATTAGCAATTAGACGTCGCAGAAGTTCTTATATCATCCTATACTAGTTTCTGGCTAAAAAAAGTAGCGATCGTTATAATTGAAGAATTGCATTTGCACAATGGCGTGCATCAAGCGTGCAAAAGTAGATCGTCCGTAGAATCTTTTCAGCCCGCCCCGCACATGTTTCAATAGAGGCTGTAGTACAAGGATATACTCGATCAACATATTTTGGATACATAGATCACAGTCAGAGGTCAAAAGCAAAGACTCGTTCACGAAAGAATCTTTCTCAGCTTATACCAACCAAAGATAGAGATGTGTTCAAAACATGGATGATCAAGGTAGGAAGAATTGATGAACATCCTTCTGAAGATGTTGATCAAGAAGCTATCATCGATCACGAGATCCAGAAACAACACAAGTTGTGCACTAAAAGTTTTCACGTTAAGTATATACGTAGAACGAAACAAAGGGTCAAGCTTACCGACGATGCAGTTCCTATGACTGAACAAGAATACCGTGCAAATGTAGCGCGTGAACGTTTAGCATATGAAGCATTAGAACAGCAGAGGTTAGTCAACGAAATGGTGCAATTGGGCTTACTTCAAGAAAATTGCCGCCCGACTCTGCGTTCAGGTAGACGACCACTTAGTACCATACAACCAGATGATAATCCCAAAACAGTTAAGAAGCGTCATACAAAGGTAGATTCGACTACGATACAACTAGAGGTTAAGACTGTAGCTCTAACTAAAGGTTCTTCGAGATTAGCAGCTTTAGAAGAAAAGATGGCACAATTACATAGTGATATAAAGAGTGCAGAAGAGAATCTCACTCAACAAAAGATAGAACATAATATTGAATTGAATTTAATGGAGGATGAATTGAACAACAAGCAACATAGACTCGACGGAATGGCGAAGAACTTCAAAGAGACTCGTATATCCAAGCTAACATATGAGTATATATCCCAGGATGTAGAGAGGGTTCGTTTTTGTACCGGATTCCAGACTCCCACCAAATTTGTAGCTTTTGCGGAAAATATTGAGAAATACGGTAAAGCGTTCACACCTGGTAGAAGTTCACTCACTATTCAGAATGCTCTGTAACTGTGGTTTGCCAGGGTCAGGCACAACTTAGACCAGGGTGTCTTAACACACTTATTTGGATTAACATGTACACAGACCGTATCTAACATTCTTAATGATATGAATGCAGTTATTTTGAGCTACTTCCGGCATCCTTCTAACTGGATGCTCTGCGGCTGCCTTGCTTCATGAAGAAGTACCCAACAACATCACTAGCAATCGATTGTACAGGTTCGTATGTGTGTCCTCTACACAATGGATTATCAACTGCATTCGCTTATATATATATTTGTAAATAGTTACTAATATGTCGCTTATATATTTATATTTAAATAATTACTAATATGTGCTTAAACCATCCTCTATACCACTATAGAAATTTTTATCCAGACTCCGTCCAATCTCGACTTTCAAAAGGCAACATACAGCAAATACAAACATCACAGCACGGTCAAAATGCTTGTGGGGACGTCAGCCGCCGGGCACTGTCTCCGTTGTATCCCGGGAAGATCAGCGATCAAAAGATATCTAACTTGTGCAAGGAGTCCCTATGCGCGAAGATGTGGCCTGGTTTGGCCGCCATGGGTGGCAAAGGATTCCTTATAGCTGACTTGTTGCCGGCTGGATGCACATACAACGTACCGCCAATGTTGCGTAAAGACACTCAGTTTACTACTGAGCAAAATTTGGAAACAATTAAGATTGCTTCATCAAGGATTCATATCGAACGAGTCAATGTTCAGAATGTTGGCGCAAGAATTTCGCTTAGTTGACATACACTCTTTTTATCAGTTTCCATAGCCTCCGAACCTTCCGAACCAACGATGTGCATTGATTCTGTAAACTTATCCTGACGCTCGGAAACTGTTGTTGGATTTTCGATGATTGTCAGGTAAATTGGGCGTTATACGTCTTCGTCTATATTTCCAGTGACAAAGCTTGGTACATCCCATTTACTTTCCTTACTTGTGCACAGATTGCTGTCTTCGTCATCGTCAGATTGCTTTATACTGGAATCATATTTATACCTCTCAAAATCATTCGCCGCCGCCCAACCACTTTGTTGAACCACAGTCCAAACTAAAGATGCTACGTGCACACATTTACGACCTATGTCAAGCGGGCATACGCAATAATCCTTCTTCACCCTATATTCTCCCTCTAAATGGCTCGTTAGCATCGCATATTCTTCCATAGACGACGAGATTTGTGAGCGTGGGATACTTGCGCATACAAATACATCCTTGCTACTATTACCCGAAAAATCCGCGCCGAAACTAATAATCTTCCATTTAAAACGACATATATTCTTAGCCTCTTGATAAATAGACGTATTCACATTTTGTTCTACTTGCGCAGCTGTGCGCGAGCGTCCCTTGTTGTAAGCAGTGATGCCAAAGAAGTCTATTATTACCTCCGTTCGTATATAGGGGAATTTCTGCCAGTTGCCAGACTTTATGATAATCAGAACGAATAGGTAACCCGGCTATAGCCACTTCATTTAATGGCATCTCATCTTGACCCGAAAGTGTAACACACTTAGTTCTCGTTCGATCAAATACCCAACTATTTCTGTTCGCGTGTAATCCTTCACGGAAAGCCTTCTCACAATGTGTAGAAAATGGCGGTCTTAAAGCTTTCTTTAAAGCCTCTAAAATATCATCTGTTCGGACTTCTATACATGTTGATAGGTGTTCGATCACAGTCGACATCACTGAATTCATACACAATCCAAATAAAGGTTGTTTTGCTGCACGCAAGTGCTTAGTATATATATATATATATATATATATATATCTTATATATATACGTATGTATGTATATATATATATATAGTATAGTATATATATATATATATATAGTTATATATATATATATATATATATGTATATATATATATATATATATATATATATACTATAGTATACTATATAT